CAACTGGCCCTTGTAGAACTCGATTTGTACCCTGGATAAAATTTATCAGCAGGATAGCGATATACCTATCTTCGACGATATATCGAACAGCCGCGGTGTCATGATAGGTATTAACCGTTCGTACTTTTTCAGATCAATTGTACTTCATATATTAGAACGCTTTTGGCTATTTGATTTTTGAAGCATCATTAACTGACAATGCCTTCTGTATTTTAAATTTTTTTTGTGCAGTTTTTGCAGGTAACAAGTATATTGTTTTGAATATTTTAGGTACATGAACTTCTTTCCAAAACAAACAGAACTCTACGAGAAGATATTCGAAGTTAGCAGTACTTATTTTGAGAGCAGTGTGGCCAGTCACCGTGCAAATGCCTTATTGAAGATTGCTAAAATTATTATTGTTCTCCCTGATCCTGTTCAAAGAGCCTACATGCATTACATGGTAAGATACTGTATGCATTATGTTTGCGGGATATGTTGGGGAGGGGACTAGCGTTGATGATTTTACGTATGAGCAGCAATGAACCCTAGCCCCAATTTTATTATATTTAAATGGCGATAAAGGTTAAGTTTGTCTTATATCTGTAGGAGCTTATAAATTTATATATGAGGACCATTGACAACTTTTCCGTAGCGTGCAGTCGGCCATCTTGGTTTTTGGTTCAATATGCATGAGGTCACAAATGGGGAGAAGATAAATTTTTATTCGGCCAACCACATTTCAATATCCGCCAGAAACTTGATTTTTAAGGCTTTGATAAACATGACCCATTTGTCGAATCACTGATCGAAATTGTTCCATAACTGCCTTGACACCAGGCACCTATACATTTTGCAACGATTTATTATAACAACATGATATAATATACGTCCGTATTTTTTGTTCAGTATTTAAAGAACAACCGTATTTCGTCGGTGGCACAGAAATACTCATTTGAAGACTTTATAATGAAGAAAACCAAATCAAATGAAGCAAAAACGTTGAGAAATCAGCTGTTGACCACAGGACATTATGCTAATCATTTAACACGATGGATGTCTTACTATAGTGCACAGCAGGTGAATATACCATATTTTGTTGTACACAGAACTTAGCTGAACTCAGGTATCGATTGTACGATAGCCAGATAGCGTCATTCACTGGGTGGTGTTTTTTCTCAACGGTTGTAAAAATGCTTGAAACGTGATAAAACTACGAGTATGGATCCCACAATTAATAAAAGGAAACTTTAATTTTTACATGCTATAAACTTTAATCGGGGTTACACCAGTGAAGGGCTAATTTTTGGCCTACCAACCAATTTCCCTGGGAGTTACGCGCCCAAGAACGTTGTGGATCTCAGGAATTTATTCTCAGCTGTCACGTCTATTATAAGCGGCCACAAAGCCGAGCCCCGCTGGTAGCCGTGTAATAGAGGTTTGATTGTGACTAATAATAAGGCATAATGTTAGTAATGTCGTATGCATAGAGTATTTAGCCTATACTCGATCCTATTTCACCCTCTCTTCCCAACCCTCTATAACCCTTTCATGTAGAAAAGGTTGTTTCAACGACTTTTCTCTTTAGGTAATGATTATCAGCGATGACGATTTAATAAATCACACGCGAACTGTGCTTGATAACATTCAAGATTTTGTCAATATTGAAAAGCCTGTCAACTACAATCAACTGCTCAGGTACCATTGCTAGCATATTCAAAAGCCAAAATATGCATCACGCATCAGCCGTCCAGTTTTCCCAAGTTTACTTCGATAGAGCTTTAAAAATTATCGTTTTCATTTACTGTGTCTGGCTTAATACGAATTTGCCACCCAAATCTGTGGATTTGTTAGCAGATTTCCTGCGTGTGACTGCAAGTTAGAATTGAATTGCAAGAATCGAAAGCAAGTGGTATAAATGCATTATCCGATTCTGTTACCAACGCATGCAGTGATTCTTCTCGATGTGATTCACATGCAAGCTTTATTTTGGCGGTCTCAATATGCATGTGCACTGATTGAGTATCTTCTTTTCTAGGTACGACACGAGGGTACATATGTACTGCCCACTAAACACGAACACAGTTGAAGATTGTTACGGTTACAAAGATAGACACTGCAGTGAAATGAGCAAAACAGCGCGGGAATATTTAGAAAACTATTACGAAAAGCACAACAAGAATTTACTACGGTTGAATCAGAAAGTACAATTTAGTGTGCCAAAATGGCTGAAGGTTTATGGTTAGGTATATACATTTAAAGAAAATTATCGAAACGAAATATATGGCTGGCAGCACCTAACCTACACAGCACGAATCATGGACGTCACTTGGTGCTATTCACCAGCTACGTATATAATTTTAGAGGATACCACAGGGATAACTCTTGGGCCAGGATATCAATATATTTATGAAAAATTAAGCATTGAAAAGAAATTTTTATTATAACAAATTATATGGCTGCCCAAAACATACAATGAATTTATGAGCACTCCCAAAACACTCTGCTTAAAATTTCCTAGAAATAATTTGTGCATGTTAACTTAATATTCCTGGTATGTTGAAGTTCCCGGTTATTTCATCTCACTTCTTACCATAGTCTTGTTGAAGTAACCAGGAATCTGGAGTCCTTAGTTATTTATCCAGTTCAAATTAGCTAGTATATAATATAATTATAGTTATAGTCAAGTTATAGTAAAAGGTTCAAATAAGCAGGACATTTAACAGGAATATTAAGGTAACTCAAATAGGGTCATTTCTAGGTATTACAGGGAACGATTTTGGGTCGAATATGACTATTTTTACTAAAGGGTCATCGGTTATTAAGATTGTGACAGTAAATTGCATCAAAAAGCACGACGATGTGAAGTAGAATCTCCATTTACAGATATATGGTTTAACGCAGGGATCGAGTTTTGACCCAATATTCAAATTTTTAACAAATGCTTAACTATTTAAAGTTTGTTCGTTCACTGCAACCAGGTATATCAATCATGTTTCGCTCGCTACTCTGGTTTAAATAAATGATTACAAAGCCCAGTCGAATTGTAATCAAGACCCAACGTTTCGACAGTCGACACTCCAGTGTCTATTTCGTTTCGACACTCCAGTGTCTTAACTATAAAAAATACCAAAAGCGAAGTACCAAAAGCCTATATATTCAAATGTAATATCAATATTATATATAAAAGACATACATATAGTTTTATTAAATCGTATTTATTGATTATTGGCAAAAGACAATAGCTATAATATGTATAGAGAAATATTTGTACAAAGAATATAATATATATTTTTAGTTACGAACACATACCTTACTGAATTCAGTATTATTAGTTTCATGGTTTCAAGTAGTTCCGAAACTAAGTAAGGCTCCTTATTATTATTCTGTTCCTCACTTGTATCAGCTTAACATCATAGAAAATGGACCCAAGCATGATCGGTGAGTACTTCAGTTTACTAGTGTTCATCCACTTACTGACAGTCTATAGACAATCTCTTGCAACATCTTAATGTTCCTGATTTGCATCATGAGAAGCTGAATTGAAGAACTGCACTGCATGCAATCATATAGTTAATAGAATCGGTGGTTTGGAAACTCATCAGAATAACAAGATAACTTCATTATCTTCGTTAGTCAACGTTTAAACATGGTCCTTCACCGTCACGTGTGTATTGTATTGTTGCCAAATCCACGAATAGCAATTTTCAATTTACCCTATTGTTCGAGTTACGGCTAGGTAACTTTCCTAAAACATTGCTATTGGTTAATTGGACAAAAATACAATACGCACGTGACGATGAACGACCAGATTTATGAATAAACGTTGACTAACATAGATCATGGCCAATCGAAGGGGAGATGGCTGTGAAACTCATTAGAATAACAATATAACTCATTATCTGTGTTAGTCAACGTGTATTCATAAATATGGTCCTTCACCGTCACATGTGTATATTGTATTTCTGCCAAATCCACCAATAGTAATTTCCAGTTTCCCTATTGTTCGAGTCACGGATAGGTGACTTTCCTAAAACATCGTTATTGGTTAGTTGGATAAAAATACAACACACACGTGACGGTGAAGGGCCGGATTTATGAATAAACGTTGAACAACATAGATAATGAGTAGTATTGTTATTGTAATGAGTTTCACAGCCATCTATTCCATTAACTATGAGTCATCTATTCCGTTAATGTCCATAAATTCTAACGGTTGTACGGTAATGCTTTGCTCCATTTTTTGTACTATTTAAAACACGAGTAGGAGTGTTTTATCAGATACAAAACGCGAGGCGCAGCCGAGCGTTTTATGTCTGATAAAACACGACAACGAGTGTTTTGAATAGCTTAAAATACGACTACAAAAGAATACTAATTAGGATGAACCATTATATAATCATACTAGTGAGGATGAACAATTATATAATGCCACATGCTTTAATTATCAGATATAAAGTCACTCCACAAGGTTTAAAAAATTATTAATTAATTATTTTAAGCTTTATTTAACCGTGCGTGCATGCTTTAAAGGGAAATTGCTTATTTGAAAGAATGCTCAGATTGTTTACAAATCATTCTATCAAACTATCTTAAATTTTAAGTATTTGGAACCAAAGCATCCTGCCATCCGCCATCTTATTTTATACTTAGATCAGACAAAACCAGGGTAGACGTTTTCAAACTAACAAATATTATCAACGGAAAGCTCGTATACATAGCTTGTGTTTTAATTTAAAATAGGCATGAGTCCAAAAAATAAGAAAATGCTCAAGATAAAAAATTATTTTACTCAGGTTGTTATATCACGCATATCTGACAATATACGGTAGTTATTCATATTCGTGATGGCGCAATGCATGATGATCTTGTTTTCAGTGAACGGTAATATCTTTTATACCAAGAACGATAAAGAAAATCTATATTTAATAAGGTTTTGAAATGTGTTGAATATCTCTTCCAAATCGGAGAAACTTAATTTCTATCATACTATTTCCCTTTAAATAACTGAAAAATATATAAATAATGAATGTTTAAGAGTGCAATGGTAAAATAATTTCATGAGATGAGAGATGGATTTTTTTTACCGAATGAAAGTATTTTTACTATTGCACGAATGAAAACATTTAATACTCTTTATAACTATAACACCAAAATAGAATAGATCAATTCTATCGAATTTTTAATTGAATTAAATACAAAACAAATACATACCTCAGTTACATGTGGAAAAATAATAATTTTTATTACTTAATTAATAAAGATATTTATTAATTTATAACTGTTGCATGACCCTTACATATTGAACATGCACGCATAATTAATGATAACAAAATACATACACAATTGATATAATTGCTTTTTATTCATTAGCCCTGTGCATTACAACTATATAGCCACTATACATACTACTCTATAACCTACATACTTGCAAATGAATCGAGATCAAGTAAACGCAATGTCTGTACTACACAATTCTAACCGTTATATATCCAAGGTCCCCAGCTAAATATTCCCAACCCTTAATTAAAATACTTTAATTAGTTATTAGTGTCAATTACGTCTGCTAAAGTGATTTATTGCATGTAATCATAGAAGTTCGAGAATCTAAATTTTAATCCCCCACAATGGCCACAAAATTGAGAAAATATTCGCGATTCGCGGATCATTCTCCTCGTTAGAAAAAACGTGCATGCAAGATGTTTTTGTTAAAACGTGCATTTAGAAATACGATTATATCCCTAACGTCGTAAAATCGCAACATGAGCTCCACCTTTGAATTTACTATATGAGTAAATTCTTAAACACGTCCGAATTTATCATTATGATAAATTCGCGGCACATTTTGAATTTATCAATAGAGTATAAATGTAATGGCACTAAAAGGGAGGCTGGTCCCGCGGGGGTGGAACGTTTTTCAAGTTTTTAAAAAAAATAGTTTCTAAAAAAGTTTTAAAAGAGTTTTGAAAAGCAAGAAAAGTTTAAAAAGTTAGATTTTAAAAAAGTTAAAAAAAGTTTAAAAAATTTTAAAAGTTAAAAAAGTTAGGGTTAGGGGTTAGGGGTTAGTGGTTAGTGGTTAGTGGTTAGTGGTTAGGGTTGGGGTTAGGGTTAGTGTTAGGTGCCGCGAATTTATTATTAAGATAAATTCAAAATTTGCCGCGAATTTATCATAATGATAAATAGTAATAGTTTCATATAGTAAATTCAAAGGTGGAGCTCATGCTGTAAAATCGACACAGTGGGAATGGCGACGCCTGATCCGCGAGAAATTATATTGACACAATTGGCGCAGAAATGTATAGTCGTGCATTCCTATAAATGTTTTGATATACGAAAACATGACACGGTTTTGGGAGCGAGAGGAAGCATCCACGGTCTTGCATGGTAAAGTAATGATTTAGTCGTTAAAATTAATCAGCAAATTTTCATAAGATTTTTGCATATTGATGTCGTCTCGATAAAAAAATCGTAATTCATTTTCAAATTTCAAGTGTTTGCAGACCAAATTATGATTAACTATGTGTAAATAAGGCATTAAAATCCAGTTTCGTTCTGATTTTGTACTTCATTTAAATGACAATATAAATGAACATCGCTTTCTCTATCCCCAGGCCTTTTGAGAGCAGCGTAGGTTGACTGTTCATTGTCTACTGGTTCATAAATGTTGGCATCATCTCTGTTACGATTACCATGAATATCTTGTAAATTATTTCCCCCATTCGTCCTCTCCACGTTTGTCCTAGTGGACACGCTTGATGATTTGAGTCGACGAATTTGATAAATCAAATAAGCAATAATAACAAATGAAATGACCAGCAATATTGCTAATACCACAATTCCAGCTAGACCTTTTTCAGAACAATCATCACTTTTGGCGGTACCTGAAAATTGGCGGTTACGAAAAACAAGTGTATTCTTAATTAAGCAGAATACGAGTGATTCCTTGCTAATCTGCGAGCATGGCCCTAGGGCCTTTTTTATTAACGATGCTATAGAAATACAAGCGTGCAGCAACCCATCATCTATTCCGGCCTATGTTTCCAACACTGATTTAACATGAAATATTAGTAATTGGCCAACACTGAACGCAGGCTTGCGTTGTGTGCTGCCATAGAAACACGATCATTTTTATTTTTTTTAATTTCCAAAATGTATACAATACGTAAGTTAATTATTTTGCTTTTTTTTAATTTAAACTGAAACGCTTCGTAAAATGTTTTGAAATGATCATTCGACCAAACAATATAAGTTCAAATTAATGAATAATTTTAACAATTATTTAGTTTTTTTCTTAAAATTACCAGCGACATTGAAAAGGAAAGCAATGCATATTTTACGAAAAAATTAAAGTAGGTTACAGTCCCTTCTGCGCATGTTCGGGCTTAGGCTCGATCCAGCCGGTGAAGCTCAGGCTTTGTTTACGTTTTTTATTTTGATCCACATTAATTATATACGATGAAATATATGATGAGTTCAAAACACGTTAAAGTAACATTCCACATAATTTGTGACCGAGGAGTGCAATGTTTGACAATACTTCGCTTCATTTCTTGTACATTTGTACACTGGAAATTCTTGTACACAATAACACAATCGTATATACTGTAATTTTTTAATTTAAACATCGTGAATAAAGAGGCCGCTTTGAACCTTGTGTGACACAATATCAACAGCTGGGCTGGGGCGGCGAACCGAAATCCCGAAGCACTGTTTTCAAGTTTTCAAAGGCAATTAAAACTAAGTACCCTCACCATTGGAAAATGTAAAAGAAGTTGAGACTTTATATCAATAAGCAAGTACGTAAATGTAAATCTGATTACTACCAAGGTTAGGGATATTTCAGATCCGTCAGAGCACCTAGTCACTAGGCTTTTTCTGACACGGCCACAAAATTCAATATGGCGCACGACAAGGAGTGGAAGTAATAAATATACTATTATTGTTCAGTTTCTTCTTTATTCTTCGAAATATTTTTTGTTATAAATACAAGAGATGACAGGAAACACCAGGTATCTTATTTTATCTGAAAAAACTTTGACACAGATAATAATTTTTCTCAGTCATGGATTATAAAATGTATAGTTTATAGTATATATATACCACTACTGAACGATAGTTGTTCAAGTACTGATACAGTGGTACTGCTGTCCGTGTTTAGGGAATGGTCATTATTTATGGGGGGG